CCAGTTAGGTGTACGGGCTGTGGTGTTAAAGAGACATGTTTGAAACTCAGTTCTGCCACTAACTGGCTGTGTGACCATGGGCACCTCTTGGGGTCTCTGCTACTTCTGTGAAATAGAGCTAATGATACCTCCCTCCCCAGATTCCTCGTGAGGATTGAATGAAACGATGTATGTAAAGTGCTTAGCATGCGATTCCTGGTTAATGGTAGTTGTTAATCATTCTATTTCTTATAATGATATAAAATGAGAAAAAGCTTGGAGAACAAGCATGTTCACTCTGGCATTTTTTGTATCAGTGAAAACCTGGAACAATCTACAGATCCAATATGAGGGGTGTGGTTAGGCAGACCATGCACATACATACACACAATGGAATCTTCCATAATCACAAACACCAGGGGTTACAAGGACATGGGGCACGTCTGTATGATGGGACATTGCAAGGAAGCTGCGGCTCTGCAAAATACATAGAGGAAAAAGACGGGAGGGGAACCTGCAGAAATATTAGTGGGTTGGATTCAGAATGAACTTCTCTCTTTTCCCTAACTTCCTGATTGTCTATAAGGCTACTGGGTCATTTTTACAAACAAATAAAATTATTTGAAAAAGGCAGATTTTGCATGGATCTGCCCAGAGAGGTGAGCAGGACAATGGCTTGTGGGCCTGTGGTGGTTGAATCCGGCCCACTCTTACTTAGCACAGTGAAACTTCAAATAAGCAGAATGCTGCCAGTTAGGACTCTCACGTGACAGGAGGGTGTTGTGTGTCTCACCTGTTGGCAGACTTAGGAGCTCAGGCTCTGCAGCTGGTCGGGACCGGGTACATCTCGGAGCCACGCCGACCACAAGCCCCTTAAGCATGAAGACTTAGAAGGCAGCCCTGCCCTTCTGGATTGGTGTGAAGAGTTAGTAAGGTGGAGGCTGCCTCTATCTTGTTCTACGCTTTCAGCAACCCTGTGAGGGCTACTGCCCCTGGCCCCTACTGCAGCGAATGAATGATGGGCAGCCTGGCAGACAGAAGCACTGGGGACCAGCAGGCCACTCTCTGTCTTTGGCCTGTCTGCACACTGTGTGTGGTTTGGAGGGGTGGGCGGTACTGAGCACAGCACTGCCTTTTAGAGTTTGCTGTCAGCTCTCTTGAAGTGCCAGTTTGATGGGCAATTCCCCTATACCTGGCAAGCCAAAAGGAAAAAAGGTGGGGCCTGGCAGTTGGGCATACTCTGGCTGAAACAACCAGGGTCCACCCTTAACAGGTGGGGAGCTGTGGACCTCACCGTGTACACTGCAGCCGCCACCGTCCTCACCACTCAGAGTAGCTCATAGTCATAATTAGGTTCTTAACAAAAAGCCTGGATGATGCAGAAGAAAGGCTGAGGCCTCTGTCATTAGACAGCTGATCCTACCATTTTCTAGCCCTGAGACCTTGGGCAAGTTACTAACATACCTCTTTGAGCCTCTGTTTCTCTACCTGTTAAATGGGAAAGCTACCACCTACGCTTCACAATCTTAAGGGATGTTCAGTAAATGTTACTTCTCTTTCCTTCCCCAGGTAGAAACACCCAGGCACCAGTGGACACTGCTTCTTTGGCAGGAAGAGGACTGAACAGCTCCTGTACCCAACTCCAGCCTCCAGGGAACCAGAGAGGATGGGTGTGTGCTAGGCAGTCATCTCAGGACGTGGAGCTGTCTCTCTGGGCAGAGCCAGACTAACAACGGACCCCCATGGGCAGCAGAGTGTAATTGAGAAGATAGAATCAAGCAGCATTTGGAGTCCTGGCCCTGCCGCTTTCTAATTGGGTGGCCCTGGAACACCAGTCAGATACATTCTCGGAGCCTGAGTTCTCATTCTGTGGAAGGGGAAACGAATACCAGCCTAAGAGGGCCTAGGACACAAGAGGTGCTCGACTGCACTTGCTGCTAACCGGCCTCCGACCCACAGCCCGCGCTGCCTGAGCCCTCCTAACCCTAACTCTCACCCTAGGGGACCCTCAGGGCATTCCATCGGCCCTGTTCTGAATAATAATGGAAGTAGCTAATAATTCTTGAGGAGAAGCAGTCTCTGAATATTAATTAGCTAATGTTACCCGAAAAACAGAATGTTTTCTCCAGCAATCTTTCTGAAGTGTTCTTCCAATTGCCATCAGATGGCTTTAAGGGGGTAGGACTCGTACCTTTGATTCAGGAAGAAAGTTTGACACCAGAGAAATTTCATTTTGGGAAAACGCAAGTCAACAAAAGAGTCAGCACGGAGACTCTCTTTAAAGGACTCCTTTCTAAAATCCTATGGAGCTGACCCCTGGGAGGTTTTCAAAGATATTTGCTGAATGAATGGACAGACGGACATCAGCTGGAAAGAAAGAAATTGGACTTCAATGGACAGACTGGCCAGAGTGCTGGTGGCCAATGCTACTGGGCCTTGATGGACTCTAGGTGCTGAGCTGCTGCAGGAGGCCGTGGAGACCATCTTATTCTTAGTCAGCTCCACCTTGCTATTCGCAAAGTTAATTATTTAATGTGCTATTTGGAAGTTGGGAAGAGTTGGGGCAAGCAGTCAGAAGGATGGAATCCTTTGCTCAACTTCAAAGATCCTTTCTGCAGCCCAAGTCCTCTAAGATTCTGATGCTCTTTGATATTCCCAACGGAGACAACGATCCATGATCCAACAAAATCCAGGCCAGATTAAAGGGCCAGGTGCTGAGTCTGTGTGCCCAACATAGAACCACCTGGAACCAAGGCCCATTAGGATCTCGCTCCTGCCTGCTGGCTTGTCTCCTTGTGTGTCCCAACACCATGCTGACAGATTGGTGGAGCTGGTTTCTTCCCCCCCAGAACAATGTTTGATGAGGAGTCTGTTTTATTAAAATATTTTCCGCTGGATGCTTCCTGTGTTTCAAGAAGTTGGTCTTGCCAGCTGGAGCTGATGACAGTTGAGAAAAACATATCCAAGTGCTGTTGTGACATGGCATTTGGAAGCGGAGGAGCACAATCGGGGCGGGCAGGCAGTATGGGAAGAGATGCAGGAAAACACTCAGGTTGCACCAGAAATGTCACTGGCATTATGGGAGAACAGCCCTCCATTTGAAAAAATGTGAACAGAAACTCCTGGAATGATGTCCTAAAATGTACCTCTGTCTCCTGGTGGGCTAGAGCCACCGTGGTATATGGTCACAGAAAACCTGTCATTTATTTTCTATCACTGCCACTCTGCCCATCTATCAAACTAGCCCCATGCTCCCCATCATTTCAACCCCAAATGTTTCCCAAACAGAAGTCTAAAACAAGGCACATTGCTGAAAAAACAGAAAAGTGATACTGACGCACTTCTGGTAACGACCAGGAGGATGGGCTTACCAGACACTGGCCCTCTGGCACACCCTAGAGAGGAATCCCCTATCCTTGGGCTGGAAAAGCCACAGTGTGAGTAAGCGTGACAGGAAGTCCAACCTCCAAGTGAGAGCTTGGCCACAAAACGAGTAACGCTGTTCTGGAGAGTGTGGAGTGTTGTTGGTCTGAGGTGTTTGTGTGTAATGTACTGATATTCTGGGTTTGCATTTCAGTATCTACAGGCCAGTGACTCTGTATCCCAGGACAGTTTCTAAAAGATTTAGCCCAGTTTTAAAGAGGTGGCTTTAAAGAAAAGTGACGAGTTTCATGCCCCTAAGAAGAAATCTTCAGGGTCTGAGGAACTCTGAAGCCATGCAGCATTTTCTCCACAAGGGGGCAATCAAAGCCCACGCTAGTCACGGCCAGGGAGCAAGCCCTCAGTATTCCCAGTGTCCCATTGCAGAGCAAAAGTTAAACCCACACCTGACTTCAGGAGTCCTCTCTTCCAAATTGTGCATAACCAAGTGTCTCCCAAGACACACATCCGTACCCGCACCCACACACACTCTCCGTTTCCCGGAGCTTTCTGGGCTGGAGGGCTGGTTCTATGACGGCGCGACAGTCTCAAGCAATACCGTACCATAAACCAGAGAATCCAGGAAAAGCTGAAGTCACAGCCTCGGTGAGGCCACAGCTTGACATTTCGGAATCATTTCTTCCTTTCAGCTCCTTTTCTGGCTAAGACCTGCCATCTTCCCTAACTTCTTTCCCTGAGAACTTTTCTGAGTAGGGCAGACATGAGGAGCTTTCCCCAAGGGTCCCTGGGCACTATTTTTGATTCTCTCAACAACCCTAGATCCTTTCAAGGCATCACAGGACACCAGTGTGTCACTCCTGAGTTGTCTGGGCAGAGACTATGGGGTGTGTGCCCTGCATCCCTCTGGCGGAAGCAGGACTGCCTTCTCCAGGAGGTTCTGGAGTCGAGGCTGTGGGCAGCTGTAAGCCTCCCAACTCAGGCGGCTCAACCTGGTCACTGCACATCCACCCGCCTCATCATTTACCTCATCTATCCAACATCTACCCAGCAAGTGACTCTAAGCTGGGTACTATGCTGGGGACCGGGTATAACACCCAGTGCCTGCCCCAAGGTGCTCTGCGCCCAAGGGGAGGTAGAGAAGCAAAGCCATAACACAATAAATGCTGTGGCACAGGTGAGCAAAGGTGCTGGTGGGGTCGGGCAGCAGGCAGGCTCAGTCTTGTGCATAAATCTGGGCTCTAGAGACCTTAAGCCCCAGGCCTAGAAAGGTGGCAGCCCTCGTTAAATAGGAAGCCTCCTTGACCAGGTTCCTAACTCTCTCCTGCTGACCCTACATTTTCAGCATAAGGAAAGGCCTGGAACTTCCTGACCCTGTCCAAGTACCCTTCGGGCATCACCACTCAAAACTCAGCTCAGGTGCCCAGCTCCCTGGCCTCTGGGGCCTCCCACTGGTGTGACAACTGCTAATGGAAGCCGACACTGAAGATCAAGCCCTGCTCCCCGACTGACCTCTTTGTGAGACACCTGCTCGGGGCCCCAGGGAAGCTTTTCAAAGGCTGGGCTGCAGCATGGGCTCCAGAAAGCGTCGGCCCCCGCAGGATTCTTGCAGACAGAGGGGAGGGGAGCAAGGGGGTACTCACTGCTCAGGGCTTGGGACAGACGTTCTCCGGCCTTCTACTGTGATGTTGCTCTTCGGTCTCTTAACGACGTGTGGACGGGGAGGGCGCACCTAGAATGGGCACAGGGAAAAATCCCAGAGAAGGAGTGAGTTGGAAAAGCCATACAGGAACATTCTGAAGATTTGGAAAAGCAGCCCCAAAACAAACGTCAAGGGATTGTCACAGTATATGCTCAAAGGCTCTGCTTCTCATGGAAACATCGCCATTGAATGTGCAGTGGCTACATGAACCAGAATGCTGTGGCTCTTCTGTGGAGCTTGGTTTCCTCAGCTGCAAGTGGGAGACGGTTGCCCCTGCCTCCTCACAGGGCAGCCAAGAGGGTTCAATGAGACACTGTCTGCACAGGACCTGGAACAAAGAGGCCCTCATTAACAGTAAGTCCTGCTCACCTTCTTCTGGAACCCAGAAACTGGTTTGGTTGAACAAAAAGGTTTTACTCAGACTTTGTTTTCAGAGTACATGTGCTCGTTTTGTTCTTTTTACAACTGAATGACAAGATACTTATTTTCCTCTCTAAATGGGAGGGGGAAGAGAGCAAATAATAGCATTAGGGAGTGCCAATCAAACCATCTTTCTGCTGCCTAGGGACATCCTGAGCAGGCTCAGCACGAAGGCCGCACCCCCCGCGTGGCCACCGCTCTGACTGCACAGACCTGGCTCGAGGGTCGGTGACGGGTGTGTTTGACGGTGAAGCACACAGTTCCCTAATCCGTAGCTGGCTGCCGCAACAGGGTGGATTTTTTCTGATCTGCCACCTCTGAAAGCCAAGACAAGGGCCCATAGAAAAAGACAGCCCTCTCCCACCAGCGCCCATGACTGGAGTTAGGCTAAGAATTTTTAGGTGCCCTTAGAAGGATACTCATTTGATCCAATCAACATTACATGGCTTTAAATTTGGCACCATCATCTCTGAACATTTTCACTGCCAGAGAGGGAGTGGAGAGAGCGAAGCTAAGAAAGTCTATCTGTGAATTTCATTGCCAATAAAAACGACTGAGCATCCCAGTGCAGGGGGCTGATGCTCTCTCTGTAGATGAGGGACCAAGATAGGAAATGCCAGAATTGCTGAGGTTCGTGGACAAGATGGGGAATGAGAGCACCCACCTGCTCCAGTTCCTGCCCACCTCCCCCTGTACCCCCCTCCCCCAGCAATTTGTGGGCGACACAGCACAACGGCTTAGGAACACAGATTACTGAAGTTGGGTGCATAAACTGTAGAGTCCCATCCGGCCCTCAGGTCTCTGCACGTCTGGCCTAACCAAAGCTTCTCCTGTGGAGCGGCCAGTCTGATCTCAGCCTTGTTTGGCAAATCAGAGATGTGGTACAAGCCAGGTGCATTCCACCAAACTTGCTGTCCTCTTCTCTGGGGTTACTGTGAATGTCCGACGAGACGATGCGGGGAAAGGCCTGGCACACAGTGGGGGCCCAATAAACGCTCACCTTGCTTCTTTGTGACCTTATCAATAACAAAAGGAAGATGAGGGTGGAGGAGGCTCTGAATCCGAAGATGAGATTTAAGATGCCCTCACCCTGCCTAGCATCCTGCTCAGTGCCTGGTATTATAATGGTTGCTCAGCAAGATTTTTAGAAACAAATGAATGTAGCTGCTTGGAATCTCGGAAGTGCATAATAATGTTGCTATTATTATCATTGTTATCAGAACAGTGCCTGCCACAAAGCAGACAACCAGTCACCATGTGCTGAATAAACGAATGAGTACGTTCCCATCCATTCTAACTCCGAACTGGTTTCGCCAACCACAGTCAGACTCCTCTCACAGCTGGGAAACAGGATTGCCTGGCTGGAATGTCCCCCGAGATTTTCACCACAAAGGCAGAGGTGCAGTGGGGCTCGTCCAGCAGTTCTGCTCTGCCCCAGGGGTTCTGGGGTGGGGGTTTCAGGAAAGGTCAGACATTAAGGCCTGTCAGCCTGTCCTTGCCCACGGCTGCTCCTTGCTACAATAAAGGCAGGTTAGGAATGTGAACTTGTGGCTGAAATGGGGGGATTAAGTTTGTGGCAACTTCAACGGAACTTGCAACGTGGTGAAACATGGGGAAAAAGAACAACAGAGCTAATTAGACGAGCTGAGCTGTCAGCGCGCTGCTGAATGGCTCAGCGCCAACAAACAAAAGGAACCGGGCTGGCAATCAGCAGGATCGATGGAGAAGACTGCTTCATTAGGGATGATAAAACAGACAGAGCAGGGAGGGGGCGGGGGCAGGGAGGAGGGTAAGGCGGGGGAGGGAGAGAAAGCACAACAGACCTGGAGACAGGCACCCGCATGGCTACGGACACACCCAGAGTCACGCACACCTGACTGGTGTGGACAAAGCCAGACACAAAATTATACTCAGCAACAACCATCCAGAGACATGCACAAGGCCTCGAGATGCTGACACACACACTGTCTCACAAACACACACTCACAGAGGCACGCACAGGAGGCAAAGGCCATGCGTGAATCTCTCTCTCTCTCTCTCTCTCTCTCTCACACACACACACACACACACACACACACACAGCCTCAGACGTACTGCCAGAGCCACAACCAGGCACAGACACGCACAGACAAAATGGTTTAATTAAGCCCGGATCACAAGATGATGGAGACAACTGGCCGTCATATTTCAGCGATCACATCCGTCTTTCTGGGGGGTTTAGGAAGGGTGGGGGCTGCGGATAAGGGAAGAAACCACATGCACACACAACAGCCACTGGCCCCACCAGTGGTAGGATCCCAGCAGTGTCAGGGGAGAAAATGCTAAACAGGGATTTTGAGCCCTGTTCAAGGGGGACTTGAGGGGGAAGTTTGGAAACCAGCCAATTCCCCACTGGATTTAAAACCTGAGAAATCTAAGTCGGCAGGGTTAAATGTGTATTGAATACAAAAGCACTAAGTACATTTGATTTTAATGGTGAGGAAGAAATAATAAATACAGAGCTTATAAAGCGCTTCCCGTGCGGCTGACCACAGCCTGCCTCTCCCCTGCCCGCCCGGACCCGCTCCCCTTAGTCCACCAGACACCGGCGAGGCTTTCTTCTGCTCTTTCCTTTTTCTTCTTTTTAAAAAGAAAATCTAAATCCTTTGGTGACATCTGAACTCTAGCCACAGGTGCCAGGCCACAATGCTCCTTCCAGAAAGGCTGAATGGCTAGCCCCCGCGCTCCCGCTACCCTGGGCCAACGGCTGCTCCTCTGCCCAGAACATTTGCAGCTAAGTGACCTGGTAAAGCCCGGTGGGGGCCAGTGGTTTCTGACATGGGAGCTTGTCTGGTCGTCCTCTTCGAGGCCTTTGAGGGGTTCCACACCCCACCTCTCCCAGATTCACCCCTTGTGTGTAGTGGCACCCACCGGAAGTGTTCACACGAGTGCACTTGGAGTGAACAGACCCTGGGGTGCTGGGGACCACAGGGCCCAGAAAACACAAACCTTCTAGCACTCCCAAATTAGTCCCATAGTGACCCTGCTTGGCAGAAGAGGTTTGGGTAAGCAGAAGTGGGGTATATGTGCCCACTTCATGCCATAGACTGTGCCAGGCACTATACACATATGACTTTATCACCCTCATCAGGTGGGTGTTGCTAAAGCCATTTTACAAATGATGAAACTAAGGCTCAGAGAAGGTAAGTGTCTTGCCCAAGGTCCCACAGCTAGGAAGTAGCTAAGCTGTGATTCAAACCTTTTTGCTGTTTGTGCCTCTCTGACTTCCAAGCCCAGGAGAACTGGTTCTGCTAGGCACCTGGCCTCTTCAGTGCGCAGAACCCAAGGGGCGGCTCATGGCCTCCTGCACGAGTGCAGCAGCGGGGCTGCTGCCACTCAGGCTTTTCCAAGGGCAAGGTTTGCCTTCCCAAGTCCTCAGCTGCCAGTGGATGTGCCCTGCCTCCCCAACAGATCCACACAAGCCCCCGCACTGGTGAGACAACATGGAGTCCACGGGAGCCGTCTCCAGTACCTGAGTTTTTGCAAGGGGAGCAATCCTGCCCTGGATCATGTTTTCCCAGAGATTCCCTGCCTGCCTTGGATCCTGGGTGTCTACAGGGAATCCTGGGAGCTGCCCACTGGGTGACTTTGGTTTAAGGAAAGGCTGCTTGGTGAGGAGCAAGGAGAGGCCGTGCCGAGGCAGGCCTGGGCTCAGAGGCCAGCTTGGCCTCTTATCATCTTTGTGGTCTTGGTGGCAAACTGGGGAAATAGCATCTGCCTCCTCCGGACTGTGGACAAATGAGACAATAATAAACAAGTGCCCAGCACAGTCCTCGGCACATAAAAAGTGCTTGATAAGTGTTAATTCTCTTCACTTCTGTATCCCTGCCAGGACCTATTCTGCCCTAGAGATTCTACTCGAAGCCCAGGAGGCTGCTGATTAGTTTTTCTCAACTGAAGGCTCTGCCCCCGTACTTTATACTAAGATGGACTCCATGGAAATGGAGATAGAGGGCCAGGGAGCTTGGTAAGCCGGAAAGACCTCGGAGTCTAGAGTCTGGCGACCCCTATCTGCAGCTGCAGGACTTGCGTTAAGTTACTGAACATCAGTTTTCTCATCTGTAAAATGAGTGGAGATGATGCCTAATTCACAGAGTTACTATTAGGGCTCAACGGGGATGATGTGCCTAAGAACGATCTGCCGACTAGAAAAATCCTAGGCAAATGACGGTTATTAAGAAACTGGGCCATTCCTTAGAAGCTGGAAGATTTAAAAACCTGTTAAGAAGAATAAGAACCACTACTGTGTGCCAGGCACTATGCCAGGTGCTCTACAAACATCATCCACGTGCCTTCTACAGCAACCCTCTCTGATGAGGGCAAAGGAGAGAGAGAAGGGAGGCTCAGGGAGCTTCACGACTTGCCCAAAGACACACAGCTTTGGTGTTAAGCCCAGCTCTGCCTATTCCCCAAATCCATGTTGCTAACGACTGTACTGAACCCTCACTAGATCAATTAAGGTCTGACCCAGAAGGGGCTTCCTGTCCCCCAAAGAAGTTTCTTTTTGCTGTCTGTGCCTTCCTTCCAGTGACGGTGAGCAGAAACGTTCCAGCCCCTTGACAGCTGCGCTGATGAGGGTTTGGGCTAATCACGGTTTGACTGGGGTACGGGATGGGTCCGTCACACGTGGCTGGAACTGTAGACTCACAACTGCCACAGACAAAGGCATCCAAACCCCCCAGCCTCCACCCCAGCCCTCTAATTCCCACACAGGGTAGGGAAGGGAAAGAAACAGTGCCAGAGAACTTTCCAACATCCTCACAGAGAGCCGCAACCCAATTGATGCTGGGTACGCGCACCAAGGATTAACCTCAGACATGGTTCAGGCAGGCCCCTGCACCCCTCGGCCACCACCCCTTTCACAAGATGGAGTTGGACGGTGCATTGGAGAGGGCAGGAGGGGGTTAGGATATGAATCGCAGCTGGGTGGGAACCTGACCGCTTGTGCTTGGCTGCAGGAGCACAAGCAGGTGGCTGCTCGGAATAAGAGACAGAGAAACTCTTCTCTTGGTAAACAGCCCTCACCAAATGGTCCTGACAAGTTGCCCACTTTAAAGGAAGCTGCTAAAGTTGTTATGCCTCAGCACGGCTAGTCTGAGCTTACAAGGAAAGTGACTTCACTGATGCTGAACATGGGTCCCACACCCAATATTTTCCCACGGTATTTCTCTGTAAAAAACATGGACGGGTCTCTGTTCCTCGTCCACCCTGTTCCCAGGTGTTGGTGGGTTTATCACATCCCGTCCTGCTCTTCGACCCTTCCTTGGCACCTCACTTGGGAAGGTGGCGCTCTGCGTGAAGCCCAGGAGAGGAGGAGCCCCTGTCTCCCTCTGAGCCGGGTCATGTTCTCTGGGCATAGCCTTACCCTCGGGAAGGGACACCAAATGAATTTCCAAACCAAGATCTGGAGGGAACGAGATCTGTGCTGCCTGACTTTTGCTTCCTTTGTGAGAAAGAGGCGGTTAGAGAAGGGCTTTTAAAGCTCGTGGGCCAGAAATACAGCCCAACCTAGGGGATTTGCTCAAATGATGCACACACAGCAAACACACCACACAGCGGCCCTGGCTACCTACATTTCTGACCTGCAAGTCGCCAAACTGACTCAGAAAAGGGGAGAGAAGCCCAGAAAATGCAAGTTCGGGTTCATGCCACGCAGACAGGGAAGCTGAAAAAACCCAATTCCCGGTTTTCTTTCGCAAGGCAGCTGAGTTCACACTCCCAAGGTTTAGTCAGGCAGGGAGACGCTCAGGCAGTGTTAGGTGGGGAGGGCGGAACCACCGGCTACTCACGGGCCTGGAGCGCTGTATCTTGGGAGGCGGCGGGCGGGTGGGACGGAGTCTTTGTGGCTGTGTTAAAGTGAAACTTAAGACATCAGTACACACGGAGAAGGTTCGATGCATTTCCACACACAGCTTGAGAGCAAGTGTCTAGTCACTCAAGCCAGAGCCTGAGGGCTGTCCTAGATGCCTCCCTCACCCCCACAGCAACTGTCCCTGGGTCCTGCACATTCCATTTCTGAGGCCCGCCCCACTGCTATTTTTTCGTTCTAGCCTTGTCTCTGGTCTGGATCACTGTCAGCATTTCCCACAGGGCCCCCTGCCTGGATCTCCTCCAGCCATTCCCCACACAGGCCAAGGGGGGGGTCTTCTAAAGTGCAATATGACCCTGCCACACCTCAGCTTCGAGACCTTTGCTGCCCCCACTGCCGCCTCCTTGATTACATGTTGGAATGAAAATATTTTGGAAGTTTTGGTTAAATATACTATTAAAATTAATTTCATACGCTTCTTTGTACTTTCTTAATGCAGTTACTAAAACACTTAGAATTCCATATGTCATGCACGAGTGGCTCCCATTACATTTCTCTCGGAGAGTGCTTGGTGGGAGGGATCCGTCAAACGTTAGACCTGCCATACAACCTCTTCTCTGAACCTGACTCCAGCAGGATAGGGGCCGTGTCTCAGGGGTCCCTGGATCCCTGGTACCCAGCACAGGGCTTGTGAAAGTGGCCTGAGGGGAAAGTTGGTCCAGGGACTTGGTAGAGAACCAGGGTCCCTCATGGCACTCTGAGTGCACATCTGGATAGAAATACACTGTGGTTTCCAGATCCTCAGCCATTAGGTGGGAACGCGGGCCAACCTGTGCTTGGTGTCCCTCCTTCAGTTGGAGGCTCTCTGGGAGTTGGGGATGCTACCCAACGAGATGAGCATGGCTGCCCACTGGGCCATGTTTCTTCCCTTTCATGGCTTACTGGAATCGTGTGGGACAAAGGGGAATGGAGACCCCCAGCTCACACTGCATCAGGATGGAAGTAGAAGGATGGTGGGGTGGAAGCCCCCTCCATGGATGCACAAGTTGCTGCCCTGTCAGATGCCCCACTCTCACACATACCCCTCTATTTCCCTTGTGCTTGGCCACTCTACTTCCAGATGACCACCTCCTCCAGCACCACAGCCCTCACTGCTTGTCACCTCTGACCTGGGCTGTTCCATCCCTGCTGGCTGGGGCGGCAGTGTGGTAGAGTGCTCAGGAGGCAGCCTCTGGGGTGAGAGGGGCTTGGACCGAACCCCAACCCCCCTCACTCTCTAGGTTCCCCCGGCCTGATTTAACCATCTGAGCCTCACTTTCCTCAACCGTATACACAGGAAACGGTGCCACCTGCCTGAGGGAGCTGTTAGGAAGATTCAAGGCGATGTTCGCCTAGATCTTTGCACGGTGCCCCCAGGAGATGTTGGCAACTATCACCATTAGCAGGTTTCCCTGCCTCCACCCTCTTCCATTCCCAGTCCATCTTCCACACTTGTTCCAGAGTAGACTCAAAAAATACATGCCCAATCATGTCACTGCCAGCTTAAATCATCTCAGTGGAAGGGTGGCATCCCCCAAGGTGCCTTTTGAGAAACACCATTCCGGGAGAGGCACTGTACGAAGGGAAAAAAGGGGGGTCCCGAGGCAGACAAGCTGTGCAAGGCTGTCCACTGTCTTGCTCCTTTTGGAGGGTCACAATGCCGGGCAGCACGGCAAAGGCTGCCAAGTCTTACAATAAAAAACTTACCCTGGCAGGCAAAAATCCTACTGACTCTTTCTCTCAAAAGTTCTGTTCCTCCAATTTATTTGAGCACAGACTCACTTTCCCCATAACATCTATTAATATACCCCTGGAAAATGCCACCTGTCTGTTTGAAGCCCTCCAGATTCTGCGACCTCCCCACACACCTCTGTAGTCTCATCTCTGGTGCACAGCCGCCCCAGCTCGTTTCCCCAGCCCTGCCTGCCCACTTGCTCTCTCTGGAAGCCTCTCGCATTTTTTGCGCTTTCATGCTGGGCCCTTTGCCTGAAACACCCTCCCATTTCCTTTTCTCTCACTCCTGGTGGCTCTCATTCATCCTTTGCTGCCTGGCTCAAGCACCGCCTCCCCCAGGAGGCCCTCCGTGCCCTTCCCTGAGCAGTGTGGGTTAGGTGCTTGGCCCCCACCTCCCCACCTTGTATTCACAGCACACAGGTTGTCTCCTTTCTCCATTTCTTCTGGGGTCTAGTGTGGTTCCAGGTACATAATAGATGCTCAGCACATGATGTTTGGCTGAAACTTCACAGCATGTGTTGAAACTCAACAAACGTTAGGGTTCCAGATTCTGTAATTAACTGATTTTCCTTCAATTGTCATCAGGAAGTGCTGGTTCTTTTGCAATTGAATTTATAAATGGTAGTAGGAAAGCAGCCTCTTGACCACATCCACCCTGGAAGCTGACAGAGGAAACCATGGGGATTGTAAGATTCCAAGAAAGGGTGATGTGGAACAAAGGTCCTGAGTGAGACAAGGAGGGCCCCACAGCATGGACGCCAGGTGTATTCCAGCATTGCCCCAGGGCCAGGCACACAGCGGACACACACTCTGCTTCCTGGAAGAGGAGGAGCAGGGCTGCTGGGCCACGGTGGTCGCAGTTTCCCAGGATGCTGGGGTGGGAGGACAGGGATGCAGGCTGGGGAGAGCTGAATTCTCGGGATAATTAGAACAGGCCATGGGGGGTGAGTGGTGGTGATTTGAGCAGGAAGGGGGGTAAAGAGAGAAGCTAGGGAAGGTTCAACCCAACACACTGTTTCTCAGAGCGTGGCCCCAGTGCTCAGGAAGCTGAATCCGAGACTAACTGAACGTGGGGACTACGGCAGTGTGCAGCAGGCTTGAGGAGGCTGCAGAGCTGGCCAGGACTCAGTGAAAGTCACTTAAGTCACTTACATGGGCCGGGAGCCTCCCCATCCCCCACACTCCCCAAGAGCAGAGACCTGCTCTCATTCTTGTTGGCACCCCCAGCCCACAGCCACAGGAGTTTGTTCATCTCTTCCCAGGGCCTTAGTGGCAGGGACACTTGTCCTTCTGTCGACAAAGAAAGACTGGAGAGAGGTACAGAGACCCACCCAAGGCCCCCAGGCGGTGATGGGGAGCACTGGGAGCAGACCTCAGGCCTCTGGACTGCGAATCCGGTGCTCTTCCCATCGCTGGAGGAGGAGGAGACAAAACCAGAAAAGCCTTAAAGCAGAAGAAACAGAGAACTGAGTGGTCCCAGGACCTTTGCACAGAAGTCACACTATATGCGATCCTCCATTCCCTGGCTACACTGCCTTAAGTGAGTTCAGAAAGGCTGGGCCTTGGAATCTTTTGCTAAGAAGAGTTCTCTTCCACAATTCATCTGGCACTTCCTGAGCTGGGCCGTGGCAGGAGGGATGGTGGGGCTGGAGGTCTCGATGATCAACACAAGCACCTGCCTTCTTGCAGGCCACGTCCAGCTGGGGAAGCAGGGACCCTCTCACAGAACGGAAGGATTCCTCCCATGTAAACTTATGGAACAACTACGAGGGCCAGGTCTGGGGGATCCAGGAGAACAAGACACGGTCCTTGTCCTGAAGGAATGTACGGTCTAACGGGGTTTGACCTACCTCACAGAAGAATATCTTTCTTAGACTACAAGGAGTATTTGGGCTAAAGCCCCAAGAAATACACTTTGTGTTAGAAAGACTGGGGTTCATGTCTTGGCTCTGTCATTTTCTAGCTGAGTTCAATCCTGGCTCTGCCACTTGGGTAAGTTACTTAACCTCAGTCTCAGTTAACTCTTCTGTGAAATGGCAACAACTCCCGAATCACAAGCACTGGTGTGAGGATGCTACAAGAGTGTGATTACAGCTGTGCGAGTCTCTGGTCCGGCAACAGGAAGATGAAATGGGACCATCCAATCCTCTGTCCTCCCGGTAGACCAACAAGTCTTTCTAGAAAAGTCCTGTGGATGTGAGGACCTTGATTTTCCAAGGGAGCGTGCTGTCAGCAAGGCACTGTTGAAGGAGCCTGGATTTTAATAATAATCTCTTCTATTTTTATGCTGCATTTTCCTTTCAAAGCATTTCCACTTCTCTTCTTTCCTTTGAGCCTCATATGCCCTGGTGAGGCAAATTAGAGGAGGATTATTTCCCTCCTATAGAGACAGGACATAGGAGGCCCAGAGAGGTTAAGGGACTAGTATGAAGTCACACAGCTAGTAGCAGGAACTAAAACAAGCAAGTATTCTTAGTCCATTGTGCTATCCTTGTCAACCCAAATTTCCAAAGTCATCTGGGATGGTTTTTCTAATCCTTGTCCCTTCTGAAGTTGGAATCTATTGTTAGAGATCTGTGTCTTAGAGAAACGGCCAGCAAGAGAATGACTTCCTTTCCTTCCTTATTTGAGCATCTCTTTCCAGTGCTTTCCAAAAGAGGCGTGTGATTCATTTGTTCATTCATTTAACAAGAAGTGGAGTATACTCTGTCCAGGCACAGGGGTACATCACTGAACAAGACATGGTCCTGCCTTCACAGGATGCCCACTCTGAGGGAGGGGGTTATAAAGAAGGGGGACAGAGGAGGACGGAGGTCAAGGGAGGTACAAAGCAGGGGCTCTGCCACGGGATGGGGGTGGAAGGGAACTCAGGTGCATGGTAAAGCGGAACCACAGAGGTCGCACAAGACTAGAATGAGGGCAAATATGAGGAGAGGGCAGGCCAGGACCATGGAAGGGATGGTGGGGGTCATATAACATAGGGCCTTGAATGTCAGGCTAAGAAGTGTGGGTTTTCTCCCGAGCACAGGGGGAGGGATTTAGGATTTAGGCAGACACAGCAGAGGCCCTGGTGTAAAAGATGGATGGGAAGAGGATGGGTGGGTTTCTAAGGACAGACACTTCTCTCCAGCCACAGGGGCCTGCCTGGGCCTCCATGTTGTCAGCTTACCACCTCTGGCCTCGTGACTACTGGGAGATGTGAACATGAGAGGGTAAGCCCAAAAGCGTGATTGGCACGGAGGTCCCAGAGAAGAGAGGAACTCT